CAACAGTGACCCAGTTTTCTCTTTATGAGAAAAATTACCTCATGACAGGACCTAGGTGCTTGCAGACGTGGCCCACTGAGTGAGTGTCTCACTAGGTGTTTTCATGGTGCCCACAGGCCCAAAGAAACACCTAACAACCACATTCATTAAGGAGTTAGGTGTTAACACTTAACAGCATTTAGGTACTTGCAACTTATTAGCTGCTTGAAAAAAGTAATTAAAAGAAAAAATTATTAAAAGGAAAAAGCACGCCTATTTGGTTCTCAACCGTAATTTCAGAAGGAATGTATGCTCCAGTAGCACCCTTTACTACTTCTCAAACCTTGGAATAAGACTGGATCCCACCATGCTCACTTCCTGTATTTTCACATCTGCTGATTTTTTTAAAATAGTAGCAGAACAGCCCAGTGTGATGGCTCATGCCTGTAATCCCAGCACTCAGCAGGCAGAGGCAGAGGGATCGGCTCAAGTTCAAAGCCAGCCTAGTCTAAAAGTGAGCACCATACCAGGTCAGCCTGGGCTACAGCGAGATCCTATCTCAAAGAAATACCCCAAAACTAATAATTTCAAACAGAATACCAATGGAACTTTCTCACAGTAAGAGTTAAACTGAATGTCTGTACTTACTGAATGCTAACTTCTCTTGGCAACCACCATTCTTTCTGTTGCTATAAATTTGACTATTCCAAGGACTTTGCACAAGAGGAATCATACAATGCTTGTACTGTTATGGTGGGTATATTTCATTTAGCATCATTTATCTAAGGTTTATCTGTTGCAATATGTGCCGGGATTTCCTTCCTTCTCAAGGCTGAATAAATTCCTCATGTCTCTACATATGTATCATTTTGTGTCTATACAGTTCTCCTGTGATAGACATTTGTTTCTGTTTTCTGGTTATGGTGAATGATGTTTTCATGGACACAAAAAGTACTTGCTTTTATTGAGAATAGAACTTTGTAAAGATTACTAAAAGGAATGAAATGAAATTTACTATGGAAAAGTGTCAATCTTCTCTAGCTAAAAGTTTCTCTAGTGATCAAAGAATGTCTTGTATCCCTCTGATGCCTTTAAATTTTAAAATGCCCTGAGATTCTCCAGATCACTGTGCTACTCCACTGACCTTGACAAGACTCACACCATAGTAGCTGAAGCCATTGTTACCCGCATTTCCAGATGAACTGGAAAGCAATCCGGAAGCAGTAGAAACACTACTGTCAGGTATAGACTTCCCATGAGAGTCCTCCTAGAAATTCCCAGCCTTCAAGTCAGGTGCTCACCTCTGTGATAATCCTAAGGAACTTAATTTCTCCAGATACAGTCCCAAGAGAGTTAATACATTCCCAGGGTTCAGAAAAAGCCCTTTCTCATCAGCTGTGCAAACCCCACACTGTCATGACAGCCCTGTGTGAACTTGCCTGCACAGCAAGGTGTTCAAATGTTTGATGAGACATTATTCCATCTCATCTCATCAACATGATGGGCTACTTCTGGATGAGGTTAACATTTAAATCAGCAGTCTGATCCGAGGAAAGGGGATCCAAGCTAGCACATCCAATCAACTCAAGGCTGACCTTCCCCTCTGTGAGGGGCAATTCTTTCTTACCTGGTTGCCTTTGAACGGGACTGTTGGGTGGGTTTTTTTCTTGCCTTTGGACTCGCAATGAAACGTTGCCTCTACTGAGTCTCGAGAGTGCTACTCTTTGCACTGGGACTCCACCACCACTCAGGCCTTCAGCTCAGACTGGAATTAAATCATCCAGTCTCCTGTTAGCTTGCTAAGGTACCCTGCAGATGTGGGGACTTGCCAGACTCCACAATCCCATGAGCGTATTCCTTATAATAAGCCTCTTTATTTACATGCATACATGCATATGCACACACATATAATTATATACATTCTCTTAGTCTTGTTTTTCTGGGAGCCCAGCTGGTATTCCCACAGAGTCACCATGCTGCCCTGGGATCACAGGAGACCCAGAGCCCTTGGTGCATCCCTCACAGCTCTTCACCTACTTCATTTTGCTCACCTCTCTCCAGCTCCATCTCTTACAAAAACCTGAACCTCCACTCCATGTGAAGTCAGGTAGAAACCTGAAATGGGCCCTTGGTCTCTCAGGTCCAGGCTAGGAGTACATTTTTCTCCCTACCCCAAACAAATTCTAGACAGCTCCCTCATATGCCAGCGCTCTCTCTCTCTCTCTCTCTCTCTCTCTCTCTCTCACACACACACACACACACACACACACACACAACTGAGTATACTCCACAGTTGCAAGAATAGCACCTCATCCTCAAAGTGTCCTCTTAGATGTCCTAGTCTCCTCCCTGATCCAACTATAAAGGGGCCATGAAGCTCTCAAAAGTTGTTACATGGAGTTGAGGACCTGAGTTCAGGTTCCCCACCACTCACATAAAAGTCAGAAGTGACACATGTCTGCAACCCCAATGCTGGGGAGGTAGGAAAGGAGGAACCCTGAAATCACTAGCCAACCAGTCTAGTCAAATCAGTGAGCTCTAGGTTCAGTGAGAGACCCTACCTAAAAGGTGGTGAGTGACTAAGGAAGGCATCCATCCAACATTGACCTCTGGCCTCTACACACACACACACACACACACACACACACACACACACACAATTGCCACACTACTACTCTGAGTATATCTCTAGCAGAACCCACAACTGACTTGAACTGCCTATATATTTGTCTGAATTCACTAACACCCCGAGGGAGAGACCATGCTTTTCTAGCAAGTCCACTTCCAAAACAGTGGTTCATCCACAATCTATGCTCAATAATTATTTGTTGAGAAAATGATCAGATCACTTTCAAGTTCAAACAGATCCAGACCATCAGTTACTGGCTTAGTTTAGGAACTGTCAGTCAAGATCTGCAAGGAACAATTCAGCCACTTCTGGCACCGGCCAAACCATGATGGAATCCAAGCTGTGAAGCTAAGAGGAATAATAACAGAGTGTCCCCATCTTCTTATCTGAGAGCACATGAGAGCACACACGCTCCAAATATTCCAACTGAGGCCAGGCACTGTACCTAGCAAGCTGATCAAGAAGCCAGCAGACCTCAGGAGGAAACTCAGGAAGCAGTACTACCAGTAACATGTGCTCCAAGGCGTATTGGCCCTGACAACTCACTTCAGTTGAGTTCATTTAACCTAAGTTCCTAAAGCACATTTTAAACTATGATTGTAATTATAACTACAACCAGTTACTATCAAACTAACATCCTCAAACTCTTTCCTGGTTAGTGCCCCTGAAGTTATTTAGTCTTTCTAGACCTTAAATCGCTTATCAGTTAAATCAACCACAGCATACACCCAGGACTGTTGTGAGGAATCACTGAAACTTTACGTTGGAAAGCATTCCCACACTGCCTGACACGTGCTAAGTTTTGATATGAAAAGCTCAAACTATTAATATTCTCACTATTACCACCGTCTGTTATACTGACAAACATAAGTGCCCATAAAAGTAAGCTAGTCAAGGTGAGTTGAGCGATTTCACTGGGCCTCAGCCTCTGAAAACCTCAACACGAGTTTGATATTAAGGAACTCAGCTTGTCCTGACATGAGGGCAGTAACCTAACAATGGCAAACTATTTTGAATAAGACCCTCACCTCTAAGAAACCTTTCCTGTACTAAACACCAGTACTTCCAAGAAAGCAAGCTACGAACCAAATTTAGACCAAATTAAAGAAATAAAAGAAGGTAAAAGAGAAATGTAAAAGCTACACGTGTTTAGTGTTGTGTATTTTTTTTTAATCTCCCCGTTTTCACCAAACATTCCATATGCTGAAATACACAGACACTAAGACAAGCAAATCTTTGGCTACTTGCCTAATAGAAATCATTATTCACTTTAATTAACAGCATAAGTGGCTATTCAGATGGTGCTAAGAATTCTATTTTGTATTTAAGTACTTTTAATATAAACATTTAAGATGGAAAGATAAGTACCTTAAGGAATATATAATTGCACTATTTTACATAAAAAGCTGTATTTTATGTAGGAAGGCAGGCTCTTTCTCTATAGCTTAAACATGCATACCATCTGCAATGTAACTTCATTAAGTCCACAGCAGTTGTTAGAGAAAGTGTGTCATTCAAATACTTTATTCCCCAACAATTACTCTTTAATTTGAAATATATGGTAATTCAATCACTATTGAGTTAAAAGTACATTCTCTCTGCATTTCAAATGAACCAAGTTTTCTAATTCCTCTCAAATTTAAAATCCGTTTTCATTATTCTTGCTGGATGGCTCTCAGTGGTATAGCAGTTACCTAGCCCATGTAAGTTCACAGTTTCAATTCCCAGTATTAGGGGGGGAAAAGTTATTTATTATTCCAGCTTGCTTCTGTATACAAAAAACTATTGATTGCCCTTTTAATTTGCTTATCACGTATGTGTATTAATTCCCCTGCAACTGGAGACATGGACAGTTGTTAACCACCATGTGGGTGCTGGGAATTGAACCCAGGTCCTCTTCAAGAACAGCTAGTGCTCTTAACTGCTGAGCCATCTCTCCAGCCCCACCTTTAGTATGTCAAATACCAGCATGAGTGGAAGTTCAGCTCAGCTCCTCCATGACCCATAAAGTTCATACATCCCTTCCCCACCCCTAAGCCGGTACAAGCCACGGTGTCCAGAGGACACAGGACCTTTATCACCTTGCTCTTGCCCTTCTGCTATCACCTCATACCTTATGTCCCTTTAACTTGGATGTTTCTGCCTTACCTTCTATTGTGTCACAGTCCAAGGTGTCACACATTTGTACTCACCTTTTAACCCTACACACACACACACACACACACACACACACACAAATCCTTACCAAGGAAGCTGTATATCATCATGAGACCACGAACTTTGACTCTGACATTGGATTACATATATTGCATATAGAAGTTCTTGGCAGTGAACAGACATGGGCGAGATTTAAAGTTTCCATTTTTAAGAGATTGCAAAAAGTCAATCCTACCTTTCCCAGGATTTGGAGAAAAGGGGTTTCCAAACTCTTGCTGCTTTGGTTTTACAGAGTGTGATGCCACCATGCCACCAGGCTGAGTGACCTGGAATCGAGGTTTCCCATTAGTGAGCAGCTGTCTCCTGGGGCTCAGGGCAGGCAGATGGATGGAGCTCTCGGCCATGCTGCTCTGAGGAGCCATCCCTGCTCCTGAGGACATCTTGAGGTGAAGGCTGTTAGTGAGATTTCCAAGAGCAGGGCTGGGTGTACTGCCACAGGATGAGGGGCCAGGAGTGCCTGAGTGGGCTCGAATGGGAGGGATATGCTGGCCAGTGAGCAGTCCAGGCCCCTGTGGGGTTCCCAATGTCCGGTGGAGACTCATACCACATGATCTTCCATTCATTCTGAAAGCCCTGAGCCCCAGAAAGTCAATATCCAATGTCACTAAGGACTCTTTCAGGCCAAGCCAAGTAAGTTATCCATGATGTGGGTGATAAGCCTGTTTAAAAACAAAAAAATGCAGGAGGCATTTTAAAAAACAAAACTGAAAATAAGATACAGTGCGTTTTCAACCTGTATAGTATTTATACAGGAAGATAAGAAGCGTGCTTGGCAAACCGGCCTCTTGTGTAGAACATCATCAAATGCTTGACTATTTGCAGGCCCTCTCTACCTCTGCAGTCATGAGAGGTAGGGGCTATGGATTGCTACACTGTTTTGCTTGCTACTGAGCCCTTATCAATATGGTGCTCTTGGCAACTCCCATCAGTCTACTGGAGCCAACTTGTAAAATAAACTATTCTGCTTCCAAAAGGATCTGTTCATACACTACTTCATTTTTGCTACAATAGGTCTTGGGAAACCCGGAACATCAGCCTCCATGAGACTGACCTTTGAAGTTCCCAGTAAACAAACACAAAGCAGGTGTGTCCTCTAAATTAGATAACGGGGACCTTACACCATCTACGATGTTCATTCCAAGAGGAATATTTTCATAGCCCTTAAAATTGTAAAAGGTTAAGATCTAGGCATAGGGATATTAGTTTTTATATATCCTTATACTTAAATATTTACAGCAACATCAAAGTCTTGGATTCTGAGGTTACAGGGATGAAAATGGACTCAATACCACAATGCACCACCTTCCATTTGAGTTCTGAAAGAGGAGAAGGCTGGTTAAAATGTCTTCTGTAAAGCACACGAGAGGTTCTTAAAGGTGAGCTGTTCAGTATGTTCACAAAGCAAGACCCATAGTTTATCAACCATACTGTCAGGAAGATTCCTATGAAAAAAGCAAGAAAAGTGCGGACATAACACAGCATACCATCCTCTACTATGTGTGATGGTGTCAGTGATTCCCGGTTCTAAATCGCTGTGGAAGGAAGGCTCTTCCCTCCCCTAACCAACAGCTCCCCAGAGTAGGTACAATGAGATGGCCCACTGAATGTGTCTAAGAGAGACATTCACTCTTTTATACACTGAAAAGATAGACATGGAGATAAGCCGCGGCTGAACAAACACAGGAAATGATAACTGAGTGCAAAGCAGGGGAATTTATATGTCCTCAATAGGATGAGTATCATTTTTTTTTCTCTATGATCCACTTAAAGACTTAGACAAATATTTTCAACTCAACTCCAAAATAAATGACTCTGTAAATGATCATGGGAAGAAAGCTATGAAGGAAAAAAATGTAAGAAATTTTTGTTTTACCAGTTTAGGAAATAAGAAATATGTAAATTTCAATCCAGCATTCACTGGATATGTACTCTCCATAAAGTTTACCAAGTAAGCCTAAGTTTAGGAGCTCCATATATAATTAAAATATAAATTTGGAATGTTCTTTATTTTTACCAATTCTATGCTGCGCTAAGAATTCCATCTTTTGTGAAATGTAGAACTGTCATTCCATTCAGTTCTAAGAAACACTCAACCGCTCTCCTCCATATTAGGTATCTAGTATCAGATAATCTAATACATACACACACACACACACACACACACACACACACACACTCCCTACCACTACTGTGCCCATGAAAAGACAAGTAAGACCAAGTTATCCAAAGCTGCATGCTTGAAGGATTTGTTCCGTTTTCTGTTTTTGTTTTTATTTTGACAGGGTTTCTGTAGTCCCAGACTGCCTGGAAATCAATATGTAGACTAAGGTGGTCTCGATCTCACAGATCCGCCTGTCTCTGTCTCCCAAGGGCTGGGATTAAAGGCATGTGACACCATGCCCAGTTTATGATTGAAGTTTTTAATGAAACAGTAAGATATAAGGCTGCTATCAAACTAGTTCTAAGCCTGGTTTTCTTTAACACTAGAAAACTCCCCACACCTTTTCTGTTGTGTGTGGAACAACAGTGGTCCAGTCACTGTCATTTATTCATTGGCTGATTATGAACAAGAGTCTAATTGGTCATCTATTCAGCACTCACTGATAAAAACAGTGTTTTCTGGGCTGGAGAGATGGCTGAGCAGTTAAGAACACTGGCTGCTCTTGCAGAAGACCCGGGTTCAAATCCCAGCACCCACATGGCGGCTAACTGTCCAAAAGTCCAGTTCCAGGGGATCCGACAGCTTCTTCTGTCCTCTGTGGGCATTGCATGACACAGCTGCACTTACCTACATGCAGGCAATACACACACACAAAAAAAATAAAAATGATAAATAAAATATTTAAAAAAAAAAACTGTGTTCTGAGCACTCTAAACTTGAGGGGAGGGGGCACTTATCCAGTACCCACCATGAAAGAAAGCATAAAGAAATGTGTCACATTAGCAATTTTCGAAAATGAAAAATTGTTCAACATGACTGGAAACATGAGTCACTTAGACCATGATCCAAGCGACAAGTGTCTGCAGATTTGTAGACTGCGCCCATTTCTGTTATTTATTTTTTAATAAGGGAGTCATTTTTGGCACCAGCATTATATACAAGCAGGAATTCTCATCAAAAATCTGGATTAAAAAACACATCACTAAGTACTTAGCATTAGGCTCAATCATTAAGACACTGAGTCTGCAAGAAGGAGAAAGTAAGTACTGAGAACTTAACTAAGTATCAGGCACCCACACCTGAATGTCTTATACTGAATATTTTTTTTTTATTTTTTATAAATTGAACTCCTGTTTTAAATAGCTTTAGGTTTAAAGTAAAAACAACAAAATGTTCTTAAATTTTATTACTGAGAAAGCAGCCAGAAAGTGGAGTGATTAATATGGCAGCGAAAAACCCACAGGTGAACAGCATGAGAGCTAGCAAAACCAGCCCCAAGATGGAAAAAGTAAATTAAATGGGAAAATATGCCTAAAACTCCAGTTTTCATATGAATTATGTCAACAGAATTCAAACACTACATAATAGTATCTAGAAATCCATTTTCTTTACTCAGTGTAATATTTTTATGTACTTTTAAGCTAAGCCATGTGACCAAGATGGAACTCCAAATTCACTTAGCAATAAAGTGGGAGTGAGGTACTCAGTTTTAGGAAAGACACAGGCTCATAGGGTCAGTAAGAAGAACACTGGAAAAGCCACAAGTTCTTTGGACTTAGAAATTTTCATCTGTAAAAGCTTGAGGGAGGTGAATGTGACGACTCTGGTCTCTTGATGTTCTGTTATCCCTGATCATTTGGATCATTAGTAAATGCTCATTTACTAGAATAATGAATGCACATAAAGCTCTTTAATATTTTATTTTTTATGCTATGTGTATGAGTGTATTGCCTGTATGAATATGAGTGTACCCGTTTCATGCAATGAATGCCTCGAAAGACAGAAGAGGGCATTGGATTCCCCTGGAACTGGAGTTATGGATGGTTGTTAGCCACCATGTGACTGCTAGGAATCAAACGTGGATCCTCTGCGAGAGCAGTTAGTGCTCTTAACCGCTGAGCCATCTCTCCAGTCCTAGATGCATATGAAGTTTTAATCCTATGGCACTTAAATCTAGGTGAATTGGGTAGGTGTGGAAGCATAAACAGTGGCACTCTACCAGCCCCATCAAAATAAGACAGTTGGGAGAGCCCTTCCCCAGCAATGCACGAACACACTAACCAAGAAAAATGAATTTAGTATTAAATTTACACTTTCCTAAGAAAACAAAATCACTGATATTAGCATCAAAAACCTAAAACCAAAGAGTTCCATAAAATGAACCTTTTCCATTTTAAAACTTTCTCTAGCTTTTTCTCCTCTGTCTTGTATCCAACTACTTTATCCAAGGCAATCAACAGGAAAAAAGAAAAAACAATTTACAAAGGAAAGGCAAAGGGCATACAGAAGTATACATTTCAGGCTGTTTAGACCTGACATTTGGACATATTCAGATTTTTATACTCCACTGGTTCTCAGAATGAAGATGCTCATTCTGCTAATGAGTTACTAAGTCTTCCCTTTTGACCACTTTCAAACTCTTTAAAACACACTCCTGTAAATCAGGTCCCGGAGCACCTTAACCCCTGAGGAAGCTAAGACAGAAAACCATTTAATAATTCCACTAGTTTTCTAGAAAAAGTACACCTTTCATCAAAATATAAAATCATGACTCCAGACCTGGAGAGATGGCTCAACAGTTAAGAGCACTGACTGCTCTTGCAGAGGACCCAGATTCAATTCCCAGCACCCATATGGCGGCTACAAACCATCCTTAACTCCAGTCCCAGGGGAATGCGAAGCCCTCTTCTGACCTCTAAAAAAAAAATCTCAGCACACTAGGCATGGTGGCACATGCCTTTAATCCCAGCACTTAGGAGGCAGAGGCTTACAGAGATCCAGGCCACCTGGTCTACATAATAGTGAGTTCCAGGCCAGGTGGGGCTACAGGGGGACCCTGTCTCAAAAAGACCAAAAATAATAATAATAACAATAATAATAATAAATAAAATATTTAAAATCATGACTCCATCTTCTACACAGAGCTCCTCACAAATTAAGAGATTAAACAAATGAAAGTAATGTTAACTCATCCATTCAAGAAAATTCCAGAAACACAAGTTCCATAATGTCTATTTACAACCAAAGGCCCTTTCTTAGCAAATATCATTAATAGACTCATCTAGTCATAATTCATCTGATGAGCCAGTTAATTATTAATGTTCATACATCATTTCATTTCCTTAGGCTACATTTAGCCTTTGTTACATTTTCCATTCCTTATGCCTCAAGCATTTCTTACTTGCCCTGCACACATACATACACACACACACACACACACACACACACACACACACACCACATACCTGAAAATAAAGCACAAAATACTGGTAAGGGAGCAAACTGATCATACTTTACATATATTATATGCTAGATATACATATATGTTTGTGCACATACATATGTAGTGCATGTGTGCGTGTGTGCGTGTGTGTGTGTGTGTGTCTAAGCTATCTAGAACAGACATGTTATTGATTCTTTTTGTTTTCCCCCTTTGGGTTAATGATTGTATAATTTCATTAAGCACTGTCTTTTCAACTTCACTGCTTTAATTGTTAA